GGCGGCGGCCCCTAATCGAAAGCCTGGTGGAAGAGCTCCGTCTTGCAGGCCCTGCGGAACTACATCAGGTCCCGCAGGGCCCGGATCTCCTCCGGGAGCTCGTTCCACCAGGTGGGGGCCACCACCGAAAAAGCCCCAGCCCTGGTGACGGCCCTTTCAAAACTGGTGCACGCACAGACATTTATTTATTTATTAAGGTATTTCTACCCCGCCCTACCCAGCAAGCGGGCTCAGGGCGGCTTACAGGGGCATAAGCCCAACATAAAATACATTAAAATCCAATAAAATCACAAGATACAATCAATAATACACCATTTATGATAATAAAGTGCTTTAAGTTTAAATCCAGATGGTCTGTAGTTAACTCTGCAGTTGGCTCCTACAAGAAATAACCCCTGCCAGCATTAGTTGTATCATACTGGCAGTATTAGTCCATGCTACTCGGCTGGTCTTGCCACCATGAGGTTCACCCTGTCGCCGGGCTATCAAGGGCGATCCGACTGAGATGGTGAATAACACATGTAGCTCCATCACACATGAGGGTTTTATACACGAGCTTAACACCTTTTTTTGATACACTGAAGGTTTCCTATGCAGGGAATCACTGTTTGTGAGGGAGTCAACTCTTGTGAGCCAGTTTGGTGTGGTGCTTAGAGGCACGGACTCTAATCTGGGAGAACCGGGTTTGATTCCCCGCTCCTCCACATGCACCTGGCTGGATGGCCTTGGGCAAGCCGTAGTTCTGATAAGAGCTGTTCTTGAAAAAGAGCCGTTTCTGTCAAGAGCTCTCTCAGCCCCGCCGACCTCGCAGGGCATCTGTTGTGGGAAGGGAAAGGAGTGTGTCAGCCGCTCTGAGACTCTGAGTGAAGGGCGGGGTATAAATCCATTCTCTGGTTCCTCTAGCAACCAAGGAATGACTGGACAGGAGGAATAGTTTTTTTGTGGGCCACTCAGTCTAACGACACTCTTCCTAAGGAATTATCTGGAGAACACAACACAGCTCCTTACAGGAAGGCAGGTCGGTAGACGAGATATTTCTCCAGGGCCCATTATCGTGGCAAACGCCGGAGCTGCTTCTCAAACGCTGGTCAAAACTGCACACACTTACCTGACTAGGTGGGCTATTTCCCAGCTGGTCTCAGAGGTGAGCGGCCCTTCCGTCTCCACGCCTTTCTCCGTCACGATTATCAACTCGTACTGCGAGAGAGAGAGAGAGATGCCCGCGTTATTTCTGGAGGGCTGTCATGTAGAAGAGGGAGCTGCTGATCGAATGGGTGGAAGTTACAAGGGAGTCGTTACCGGCTAAATATCAGGAGAAACTTCCAAACTGTAAGAGTGGTTGAGCAGTGGAACAGTCCGCCTCGGGAGGTGGCGGAGGCTCCTTAGCTGGACGTTTCCAAGCGGAGGCTGGATGACCTTCTTTCAGGTATGTTGTCGGTATGGAGGGCTATCTTTCGGCTATGCTCCTGCAGAGTGCAGGGGGTTGGACTAGATGACCTGCAGGGTCCCTTCCAACGCTAACGTTTTATGCTTCTATGATTCTATGGTCCTAGGTAGCAGCTGACCCTGGACAGCCAAGCCTCGGATAAGCGTGTCCAGAAGGGGGCAACCAGGATGGTGAGAGGGTTGGAATCCAAGTCTTAGGAGGAAAGGCTGAAAGAGTTGGGTCTGTTTGGCCTGGGAAAGAGAAGGCTTAGAGGGGACATGACTGCCGTCTTCAAGTATCTGAAGGGCTGTCATGTAGAAGACGGAGGGGATCTCTTCCCTCTTGCTCCAGACTAGATCTCATGGGTGGAAATTACAAGGGAGTCGTTGCCGGATGAATATCAGGAGTGACTTCCTAACTGTAAGGGTGGTTGAGCAGTGGGACAGTCTGCCTCGGGAGGTGGTGGATGCTCCTTCGCTGGACGTTTTCAAGCGGAGGCTGGGCGACCATCTTTCGGGTATGTGGTCGGGCTATCTTTCGGCTGTGCTCCTGCAGAGTGCAGGGGGTGGGACTAGATGACCTGCAAGGACCCTTCCAACTCTGACATTCTATGATTCTATTATTTCCTGCCTGCCCTGTGTGCCTTCGACGGCCATCTTGGAACGGCACATTCACCGCATCCAGGCTGGACTCAATGACGTGTGGAGAGGCCCCTTTTCCACCCGTCCAGAATGCGGAACTGCTAATTCTGTTGGTCTACGGTGAGACCACACCCCCTCTTTCTCCCTCAAGGCCTCCCTTTCCCCCTGACAATGAAATTGAAACTTCATGTCTTTCACACCAAGCATTAACTCCCCCCCCTCCCCCGTCCTGCCACAACTCGCCCCATAAAAACAAGATTTTCTCTCTCATACCTGATGAAAAGGTCTATGACTTGCAAAAGCTCGCTCTGAAATAAACGTCGTTTGTCTTTAACACACCATTAGATTTTGCCACTGCAGACATGGGAATACATAAAACTGCCTTCTACTGAATCAGACCCTGGCCCATCGAGGTCAGTCTTGTCTACTCAGACTGGCAGCTGCTCTCCCAGGTCTCAGGTGGAGGTCTTTCCCATCCCCTCCTGCCTGGTCCTTTTAACTGGAGATGCCGGGGATTGAACCGGGGACCTTCCGCATGCCAAGCAGAGGCTCTTCCACTGAGCCACGCCCCCTCTTTACAGCTCTCCGGGGTCTCAGGTGGAGGTCTTTCCCATCCCCTCCTGCCTGGTCCTTTTAACTGGAGATGCCGGGGATTGAACCGGGGACCTTCCGCATGCCAAGCAGAGGCTCTTCCACTGAGCCACGCCCCCTCTTTACAGCTCTCCGGGGTCTCAGGTGGAGGTCTTTCCCATCCCCTCCTGCCTGGTCCTTTTAACTGGAGATGCCGGGGATTGAACCGGGGACCTTCCGCATGCCAAGCAGAGGCTCTTCCACTGAGCCACGCCCCCTCTTTACAGCTCTCCGGGGTCTCAGGTGGAGGTCTTTCCCATCCCCTCCTGCCTGGTCCTTTTAACTGGAGATGCCGGGGATTGAACCGGGGACCTTCCGCATGCCAAGCAGAGGCTCTTCCACTGAGCCACGCCCCCTCTTTACAGCTCTCCGGGGTCTCAGGTGGAGGTCTTTCCCATCCCCTCCTGCCTGGTCCTTTTAACTGGAGATGCCGGGGATTGAACCGGGGACCTTCCGCATGCCAAGCAGAGGCTCTTCCACTGAGCCACGCCCCCTCTTTACAGCTCTCCGGGGTCTCAGGTGGAGGTCTTTCCCATCCCCTCCTGCCTGGTCCTTTTAACTGGAGATGCCGGGGATTGAACCGGGGACCTTCCGCATGCCAAGCAGAGGCTCTTCCACTGAGCCACGCCCCCTCTTTACAGCTCTCCGGGGTCTCAGGTGGAGGTCTTTCCCATCCCCTCCTGCCTGGTCCTTTTAACTGGAGATGCCGGGGATTGAACCGGGGACCTTCCGCATGCCAAGCAGAGGCTCTTCCACTGAGCCACGCCCCCTCTTTACAGCTCTCCGGGGTCTCAGGTGGAGGTCTTTCCCATCCCCTCCTGCCTGGTCCTTTTAACTGGAGATGCCGGGGATTGAACCGGGGACCTTCCGCATGCCAAGCAGAGGCTCTTCCACTGAGCCACGCCCCCTCTTTACAGCTCTCCGGGGTCTCAGGTGGAGGTCTTTCCCATCCCCTCCTGCCTGGTCCTTTTAACTGGAGATGCCGGGGATTGAACCGGGGACCTTCCGCATGCCAAGCAGAGGCTCTTCCACTGAGCCACGCCCCCTCTTTACAGCTCTCCGGGGTCTCAGGTGGAGGTCTTTCCCATCCCCTCCTGCCTGGTCCTTTTAACTGGAGATGCCGGGGATTGAACCGGGGACCTTCCGCATGCCAAGCAGAGGCTCTTCCACTGAGCCACGCCCCCTCTTTACAGCTCTCCGGGGTCTCAGGTGGAGGTCTTTCCCATCCCCTCCTGCCTGGTCCTTTTAACTGGAGATGCCGGGGATTGAACCGGGGACCTTCCGCATGCCAAGCAGAGGCTCTTCCACTGAGCCACGCCCCCTCTTTACAGCTCTCCGGGGTCTCAGGTGGAGGTCTTTCCCATCCCCTCCTGCCTGGTCCTTTTAACTGGAGATGCCGGGGATTGAACCGGGGACCTTCCGCATGCCAAGCAGAGGCTCTTCCACTGAGCCACGCCCCCTCTTTACAGCTCTCCGGGGTCTCAGGTGGAGGTCTTTCCCATCCCCTCCTGCCTGGTCCTTTTAACTGGAGATGCCGGGGATTGAACCGGGGACCTTCCGCATGCCAAGCAGAGGCTCTTCCACTGAGCCACGCCCCCTCTTTACAGCTCTCCGGGGTCTCAGGTGGAGGTCTTTCCCATCCCCTCCTGCCTGGTCCTTTTAACTGGAGATGCCGGGGATTGAACCGGGGACCTTCCGCATGCCAAGCAGAGGCTCTTCCACTGAGCCACGCCCCCTCTTTACAGCTCTCCGGGGTCTCAGGTGGAGGTCTTTCCCATCCCCTCCTGCCTGGTCCTTTTAACTGGAGATGCCGGGGATTGAACCGGGGACCTTCCGCATGCCAAGCAGAGGCTCTTCCACTGAGCCACGGCCCCTCCCCAGCCACGGCAAACATCCCTCCCCTTTGCTGCTCTTCCACAGGGGGGCCTGCAGGACGACTCACCCTGTTGAAGGAGCGGGCGTCTCGGTAGTAGAGGATTTTCATGCAGCGCTCGATGAGGGCTCGGGCCTCGTCTCTGGACAGGCTCCCCTTCTTCTCCAGGGCGTCCCTCATCAACGGCTGCAGCCCCCCAAAAAGGGGGGGGGGGGGGGGGGGGGGGAGGGGAGAAACAGTGATGGCGAGAGGCGATAGCCAAAGGACCCCGAGACCCTGAAAGGCCACACCTCTCCTCCGCCCAATCTGCCCTCCCGGGTGGCTCACCTGCGCCACGTAAGAGCCGTAGCCGGTCGCGAGCGTCGGAGCTTCGTAAGCCACGCCCAGCATGTCGACGTAACCTAGGAAACTGAGGAGGAAGGTTCCATTCTTTACGACGGGTTGAGGCCCACTTCCTAACGCTTCCTTCCTTCTACCCCCCAACCCCCATTCCTTCACGGCAGGCATGGCTTATTTTTTTTTTGGGGGGGGGGGTAGTTTTTAATGGCTTTCAATGGTGATCTCATCGTGTATGTTTTAAATCGCTGCATCGGTGACCTGTGTTCCCTCTAAGCTGAGTGAGTGTGAGCCAGCTCACAGTTTTTGAGCCTCCGGCTCATACATTTTTGTCTCCGCACAGGAAGGAGGGCTCCAGAGCAAACTCATTTACGCAGCAGGCGAATTGCTCGCTCGCAACTTTAATGCCAGCAGCTCACAAAGTGGAATTTTTGCCCACAGGACTCCACAGCTTAGAGGAAACATTGGGAGTGTTCCCTCTAAGCTGAGTGAGTGTGAGCCAGCTCACAGTTTTTGAGCCTCCGGCTGACATGTTTTTGTCTCAGCTCAGGAAGGGAGGGCTCCAGTGAACTATTTTATGCAGTGGCCAAATCCCTCGCTCACAACTTTGATGCCGGTAGCTCACAAAGTAGAATTTTTGCTCACAAGACTCCACAGCTTAGAGGCAACATCGTCGGTGACCCTCGTAAGGGCAGAAATGGAGGGAGACCCATTTTGTAAATACATTAAACTCAACACAAGACCTAAACCTCTAAAAAAAACAACCCACACTTTCTGGGCTGGTTCGCTTTCCTTCCCATCACCTGGTTAGGGTTAAGCTTGAGAAAGAGCACAAAAAAGCCCGCCTAGCACATACAGGCCAGAGACCTCATCCCCTCTCAAGTCTAGTTCCAACCAGAGAACTCTCTGGTCTCGCCATTTCCCACATCAGCTGGCCAGATCTTCCGAGGCTTGCGAAGGCAATGAGCTCACCAGTATGAGTGGGAACGTGAGGTAGACTGCCCCTGAGCTTTCAGGCACTGTCTTGCACAAGAAAAGCCCTGTTGGATCAGACCAGTGAGGGTCCATCCAGTCCGCCTCCTGTCTCACCCAGTAGCCAACCACTTCCTCTAGACGGCCAACAACAAGGCAGAGAGGCTGAGGACCTCCCCGAGAAGAACATCGGAAGA